TCACAACTGATGATTAATTTCCTGTTATTTCTACAAATATTCGAGTGTTTTTTATTGAATTTTATCGATTTATGATTTCAACGAAAAAAACCGAACCTTGACAACTCTATAAATAATATCATACAATATGCTCATTAGTGACTAGCTTCTTGAGGAAATCCTCGGAGTTCTAGTGAAAAGCTATGACCAGTGTAGTTCAATCCTGTAGGGTGTAGGCAGTAACTACCGAAGACAGCGGGTGAGGTAGCGCAAAACTTTAGCTTGATCAGAGTTAGACATTAAAACACCGTTGAATGCTATAGTTCAAGCGTTCGCGTACGAGACCGAAGGTATTGTGTTCAATTTCAGAGGACAAGAGTAGTAGATGTGCGCTACTGAAGAGTCCCCCAATAGGACGAACGGGCCATCCAGTGCTTACAGGTTTCTAATGGTGCTCTAGCAATGATCGATTCATAACTTCAATCAAACTCAATTATCTCCATAACTTTATAATGAAAATAAAAGTGTTTTCGTCAAGTTTTTATTTATATATTTTTAAATATTTATTGAATTCCATTATCATTTGTTTTTAATTTTTAATCAAACTTTTCTAGTAAATCATATCTAAATGTATGTTCTACAGAAAAAGTGATCAGACAATAGAATAAAATTTGAGTAAAGATTTAGTTGCATGACAATACTTCGTTTCGTTTTACTGAGTTTCAAATTCACTATTGATTAAAAATGGTAGATCTAAAAAGTTTATGCAGTTGTAAGTAGTGTTGAAGAGATTCATTTCATTTTATAACATGAATGTAGTTCATTTAATTTCTGCTGGAAGCAAGAGACAGTAAACAGCGAAATGTTTATAGCTGTGCCGTACGCATGAACTGTGTATAGCTTTGTGATATTGAAATTCAAGTGAGTGTTTGGTGGCTCAGCAGTCACTTAGATACTTAACTATTTGATCACCGTAAGTTTGTGGAATTTTGAATTTTTTTTTTTGAATAAAGCAAAACATCAGCCAGTTATTAATTAGTAACGACAGAGATTATTTATGCTGAGTAAAGAAAGCTAGAGGCGGCCAGACCAAAACATGGCCTAAATCCATGAAGTCACTGACAAGTAGACTGAGTCATGTTGGTAGATGTAGACTACCTGGTTGGGGTCCGCGAGACGATAGTCACCAATGGTTAGAAACCTTAGTCGACTTGGCTCAAAATCGTTTTAAATGGCGCAAGTGCATCCATTCATTGTGCTCTCTCAAAGCCTAATCTTCTGGATTCGTCAGCACCTGTACCTTTGTCTTTCTAACCTTACCTCGCTGAATAATATCTTCATATCCTAGTCTTCTTCATCACCATTATTTTGGGAATTTTTAGCCAAGTTTGACCTACTACTTGAACTATTCACAAAACTTTTGTTATTGTATTTTATTTATTTTATTCAGTACAGTACACCTACTGTAGTGAAGGAGAACACAGGTGGGGCAACCAAATTGTATTTAACGAAAATTACAGAGTTACTCAGTAAAATAGGAAAGCCATATCGTAAATCGTTAACTTGCAAAATATCAGTTCATCATGTCGAACTGGACTGTTCCTGTTGCAAAACATCAATCCAATGTCATTATTTATGCGTTTCATACAAGTTCCATTATGTTCTAACTCTTCCTTTCTTGATCTTCCCCCATCTTCTGCTGCCAGACATTACGTTGACACTCACGTCATATACTAATTATAAGTAGCTTACACCACACTACCTGTGTTTCGACTATCAACTTATACTTTTACCTAATATGTGTGTATTTACGTAATCTATTTCCTTGTGATTATCGTCTCATAAATTGTCTTGATTGGTAAACATTTTCATATTAATGCTTATGTATATAAGACTAAAAAGCCTGATGACGATCTAATTGAAAAAAATATTCTTCACTAATGTGTGTTGTTCCAATATTCACAAGATTGTTATGTTCATATTTTTAAGTTAAATGGCTTCTACGTTCCACACTATGAGCGCTTTTATCTTGTGATATTTTAGTGTTGAAAATACTAGGGCGGTCAAATTAAAAAAAGTGTAACATTAACAAAATTATTCATTATTGTACGTTAGCAGTCTCTATAAATATCAATAGCTAGGAATCGGTTTGTACGTTTCATTGTTTATCACGCTTGTTGCAGAGCTCACTCTTAATGCATGTGACCGCATGAACATTCACTAGCTACAACCATGTAACAGTTTGAAAGTAACGTCCTAATTATAATATGAATCGCCTAATATCTGTTAAACTTCAATATCAGTTAACAACGAATATTACATAAGTAGTAGTTGATTCAAATATTTGTTCATCTAATCGAATAAACAGCTCGACGGTTTTAATGGCAACATCTAGTTTCATTTATAAAAAAAATTATTTTTGTTTAATATGTAAGTCCTCCAACGAAAACTAGACATCGAAGCTACAGTGAAATGTATTTTCAAAAACAAATATTTTCAAGGAATGAATGAAAGCAGGAAATTTCTTTCGTATCCAGGTAAATTTAAGGAAGCAAAAAAGTAAAGGGAGATTCCAATTGGAGATGCATATCAATACACCTGTCTTCCTACTATCAACTTGTACTTTTGCCTATTATGTGTAGTGACGTAATAATCTATTTCATTTCATTGTGATTATTGACTCGAATTTCCTTGATTGGTTTAACATTTTCATATAAATATTCATGTGTATTAGCGTAAAGCTTGACAACGATCTAATCGAAAACAATGAATATATATATATATATATATATATATATATATATATATATATATATATATATATATATATATATATATAGTTCTAAGATGTATATCAGTCAGTCAGTCATTCAGTAACAACGTAGAACTTCGTACGTACGTACATCAGTTCAAGCTGTCATACCACATTAGCACAGAGAAGCAATTGTCAATTCAACTCCCATAGTAGTAAAGGTTGTAGCAGTATTAGCAGTAATGGAGTAGAAGTATAAACCAGTGAAATAAATCTCCAAAAAAGAGGAAGACAAAGCTAATGAGATTAGAATTTGAGAGAAAACAAACAGTGGATGTATTTGCGCGATTGCAGACGATTTTGAGCCATATCATTCAAAGTCTCTAATCACTGATTACTATTGTCTTATGAAACCCAATCAGGTAGTCTACACCTGATTAACATGGAACAGTCCAGTTGTCATTGACTTCATGGGAGAAATATACATATTCGATATGGTTATATGCTGACTTCATTTTTATCATGAACTATTTATTATCTAATCAGTAAGCCTCAATATCCTTAATGTGAAAATTAATTTCATTTACTTTGTTGGCTAGATTTGTTGTCTGATGATACACCTTCAGCTGGCTTGATAGGTCAATTTCTTCAGTGAATGAATTTTTAAGTTTCAATTATTGACTTTATATAATTATTTGATTGGAATTTATAGAAATGTTATTTAAAAATCATATCACATTCGGTCAGAAGGATGCTTTCACAGAAAAAATATAATAAAACGGTCAAACATTTTGTCACGCGACTGACACACTTGAAGTCAGATAATTTTGATGCAGAAAACGTGTAGTTTTATTTCATTTTCGAAATTAATAACAATAATAATGATAAGTCAGTGTGTTAGTAGACTGTAATCTATTGTTCACTATTTGAGTTGAAAGTGAAGTACACTGCAGTAAGGTATTTACTCATTGTACAGTGGTGATTCCCTTATGATCTATAGGTCTTGAGTGATATATGAACGCTGTTGAAGAATTTCGACTTAACAAACTAGCTAATGTTTCGTAGTTCTGAGTGTTCTTTTGTCTGATATTTGTTAGCAGGGAGATTTGTCTTTAAAGTTTCCTTTTATTGTATCGATGGCAAATTAGCACTTAACCAACTAAAGTATCATACTGACAGTAGCTACTACGTTGATGTGGGGGTCTAGCTTGCCTATCGTGATAATCCAACCGAGCTATATTGGCTGGAACATATGTTCCTGAAGGTTCTATCATGCCAGGCAGGTCGATTAGAGAACGATGAGACTAAAAGCAGCTACGCGAGGTCTGAGGGCGAAGTCGTACAGCTGACTGCAGAGGGGTGTGACAGCAGTAAAGTGTTTCCCTCGGATAACCAGCATCTGCAGCGATGCTGCCTTCTCTCAAGGAAGGAAGGGGTTAGAAATGGTCGACCCTAAAAATGTCACACCTCACCCTACCTCACCGATTTCCGTCTCCGGGGGTAAGGACTACCCAATGACTGCTTTGAAAAGAGCGGAGCTAATAATGAAAAAAACTTTCATAAAAAGGCCGTGCGTGACCGACCTCAAGCAGTTGTCCGCTGGGTTCTGTGGTCACGCTCCCAGGTCGTTAAGATCAACACAAACATACTTTCCTTTTCAGGTTCCTCAAGAAACACTTTTACACGGTGTTGGTAGCCGGGAAGTGACAACTGCCCTCATATCCGTATTAGCACGGGAGACCGAATCGGTCACAAACAAATCCTTCCTACAGTCCCTAATATCTCTCTTATTTCTATGACAAATTGTAATTCAGGTACTTATGAATTTCTTTTCCTGTTATGAAATCATGAATATAGGTTGTTGCCAAATACCATTAAGTGACATTGTTCCGAATGGATCGAACTAAATTTTTGTCATTTTAAATGTTTTTTTTTGACAATAAGTTTGAAAAAACAAACAAAACTGAGGCGACTTCAATGGTTATTTCTATGATTAATGACACCGTTCAAGTGTATAACGTTATTAGTAGGAATAATTTTATTCACTTGTCAGTTGTGCTGCCGGTTGGAGATGTTACCTAATTCATGAGAGCTTTTCCAAAGATATCATCATTCGGCCACTATTTTTATCATGTCAAATACCCATAGCCATACACTATGTGTTTTTATTAGAATAACAGCTACTTATTGTGTAGGCAACGTACTCATTACTTATTCAATTTTAACTTGTAGATTTATGCATTTATGCATTTTTTTTGTAAAAAAAAGATTTCATGAAAGAGTAAAAGTTGAAGAAGTAACTTTTACTGTCTAATTTATTTTTAGCCTAATACTTTTGAATTGTACATAACCAAGAAAGACTTGATATGGATTAATCGACTCCGTCTTAGTCTGTAAGAAGAATTGAAGACAAAAAAAGGTGTTCAATCGTAAATTCCCGAAGTGGATAGATAGTTCAGCCCGTAAGTGCAGGTAGCATGTTGTTGGCAGTGTGTGTGTGTGTGTATGTCATCGTGACAGGAAGGAGGTTTTGGGAGGAGGAGCATACAAGGTGATAGGAGGTTTAATGAATAAAATAGTTACCAAAAATTAGTGATATTCACTCAGTTAAATAAAAAATAAGTTGAAATCAATTGTCTGTCAGTCGTCATTACGCATGAGAACAGGTTATAAAATAAGTTTGGGCATATTTCTGAAAAATGTAAACAGGCGTTCATCTTCCTTCTCTATTAGTCATTGGTCTCCTGTTTGACCTTTTAAGATACATAAAAAAGGGAAAAATAAATATTAGTTCATATTGTAGTAGACTATATATCATGTTCACCCGTGATTGAATTTGGGACTAATATGATTTTCTCTTCATTATACATTATTATCTTTGAGTTACCATTAAGATTACTGGCATTGTCATAATGTCCAGAATTCCGACTGCTTTGTTCTCTATCATGAATGCTTACTTCAATGTGATCACTATCTTCTTTGCTTGTTTTATGATAACTCGAAATAGTCAATGATGGCATTTCCTCACTGGTAGTATAATTATGTTCTAATGAGACTTGATTTGATACTGAATGACTGCGATTATCTTCTGGTTCTTGAACAAGATCAGAGTGTGTATTAATACTCTGTCGACGAGTACGATGGTGATTACGACTTCGACGATTATCAATGTCACTTTGAGGAGAAACACTGTGATCATAATGTTCCTCTTTACTGTTGTTGTTTTGATTACCATTACTGTGACCGTTGTTTAAAAAACTCCGATATTGTTTTGTGGTGAAGTAATTTTCTGTGGCTCGATGACTTAGTGCATCTAAAGAGAGTTCTTTGTGAGATTTCGAATTAGAAGTATATGCTGCTGATCGTTCAAAGAAATTTGATAGTCTACTATTATTGTGGTCGTAGGAATACCGACGATAGGATTCATTCAGGCTCATCGTATCATCAGGTATCTATATATGCAAATAGAAAATTATAATAATTGTACGCATGTAACTAATATCATTTAATCATAATTTAAGTATGTAACATAAAATTAGGTCAAGCAAAATATTTTTACTGAAGCAATTCTACAAATGAATATGTTTGAAAAATTTCTATTGTACCCCACGTCTTATGTAATACTTGACAGTTAGATCGATATGGAATTAGCACAAAACATACTCACATATTGATTTTACAAATTCATCAAAGTCTAACAACTGACAAAAATATATTTCTTGGTTTATTGGCACGGATAGATATTGGCTGATAGTTAGAATCAGGACAAGCGTCCTATTTGGGACTGGTTAGCTAGGTGAAACTGCATCTTAGGGTTGACTTTCGCTCCGGGATTCGAACCCATTGCCGTTCACTTCAAACTCCTCTAGGCTAATGAGTCCAGAAAGCCACTGGCTTATGCAATAATGTGAAGTTTAATTCACTTGAAGTAGTAATTAGAATCTTCCCAGTGTAACAGTTTCATTTAACATATATGCATCCTGCGTGGATTGTCTCAATGTAGCTATTAGGTCACAAGCATGATAAGCAGAGATGGCATTGAGTATTGGATTGAGTCCTGGAGTGAGTATCTACTCTGAAATGCAGGAACACCATGCTGAAGAGCCACGAATAGGACGAAAAACTTGTCCTGGATCCTACTGCTAGCCACCATGCATCACTGATGATAATGCTTGTGCTATGGCTAATATATCAAGGCAATCTGCACAGGATTTACAAATGACTAATAGAGACTGATCAGTTGCATTCCAAAACTTCAATAGGAGGATTCGGAGAAAATATTTTTTGGTTTGTTAAGAGATATAACGACAATATGATCTTACGGGACGCATGGGATGTTGATGAATGCACTAGACTTTTCTTCTAAACTAAAGACTTCAAGAACTGATAGAATGATGTTTGAAACCTAAGTAAGCATCCATTATAAGATGCTTTTTCCCTACATGGTACTGCATTCTTGAAACAAAGGACTCAATTGAGAAGTTATATCAGTTCTAATACTAGAAATCGACCATAGATCTGGCAGTATCTGCTTAATTGTCGATTAGTGAACAAAAACCACTATCATTATAATCATTTCTTAGTGATAACTAAATTCTAATGATCACATGTGAAACATGCGTGTTAGACTATGGGATTGAAGAATTGGTATTGGTCATCCTAACCGTCAATGTCACAGACTTCGATGCTGTTTCATAATTAACCTAAATATATAAATACGCATTATATGTAACATTCTATGACCAGGACCCGATCCCGGATCCCTAGTCCAGGATCCTGATTCTCTTCTGGACTCAGACCTCGCACTTTCTGAATGTTTGTACTGCATTATATCAAGTCTTCTTATTTTTACTCAATATGGGGGCTGGGACACTCGGATTAAAGTAGCATATCGTGTCTCCGGATCCTCGATCCTTGCTCTCGTTTTTCCGACTAAGGTAAACTCGTAATGGTTCAAATATATCAAAATAACATGTTTACGTGCAGGCGTAATACAAAACAATTAGAATAAATTTACATATCAACAAGTAAGTTATCACAGAACAAATTACACTAAAACTCTGAAATAATAACAACCGCAATACTTACTGCGCTGTGAGCTTCCGATTTCCTAGAAATACGCAATAAACTAGAATCTGGTTTTCGTGTACGTACACCTAAAATATTGGCTACAAATTCTGTATCAGATACGGGTTTTGTTGTTCCATTCGTAAACATATTACTACTACTACTATTATCATTATTGTAAAAATAACTAGACTCTGTATTGCCATTAGAATTAAATGTTGTTAGAAAACTATTAGTTCTGCCGCAACTTTGCAATGACATTTTCTTAATCCATGGATGATCGAGTGCTTCAATTGGATTCATTCTTTCATCTGGATTCCATTTTAAACAACCTTCCAAAAAATCTATCATATCCGGATCTAATGGTTGTGGAATTTTATTTCCAACGTTTGTTTGATGATTTGTTTGATCATTTGTTGGTAGACAAACAGAAGAATTTTTCGGATTAGTTAATGCATCAACTAAAGTCATGGAACCGGGTGAATTTCTTAAACGATGACGTTTTTTACTACCAGAACGTTTATGTTTAGCTGGTTGAAGATTTAAAGATTTTTTAAGATTGGTCATTGCTTCTTTTGTTTTATGATCTGATCGTTCATTGTTAACATAAGCTTGGTTTTGTTGATCAATTATATATAAAGGTTGTCCATTACTATTGAAATAATGATGACTTTGACTGCCTTTTTTAATCATTTGCACTGGTGGTACACCTAAAATCTCCATAATACAAGCCAACTGGTCGAATGCATCTTCACCTGGGAATAATGGTTCTCCTTAAAATAAGAATAATCAATCCGAAATAAGAAGAAATTAATTGTCGAATCATGCAAAATGAACATATTATTGAAATGAATCATCAATTCGAAAATGAAAATGTTTCTTCGCTTCACTAGAGTTTCATGAAAACAATGACAGATATTAAATTATGTGAATCACTTTGTTATCGGTGAATATACTTGCATCTACAAATTTCTCATTATATTCGAATGCTCTGAATTCGCTTTTTTTGTGTGATTGACTGCAGACTATTTTGTAACAGCGTCGTTCAAATCTGAATGATCATCTAGTGATAATTTAACTACGCTACAGTGATCTAATCAAGCTTTCATAAATTTGAATGGGCGCATAGTGAATGTTGAATTACTACTGATGAATTTACAGTGAATATATTATATTTCCCGCTTGAGTAGAAACTTATTGGTGATTTCGTATTTTTTATGAATACAATATATTAACTTGTCAGGCAGTAAATAGTATCACATTCCTATTTTTTCTATCAAAGTATAATGTTTTAGACAGTTTTATTTCATGTTTTAGACTGATTCACATGTTAAACTGACTTGAATAGTTGATTTTGTTCACATAAAAATTATCCATTGCTTGAAAACCCAGTTTTACATTCGGTCAAGTCTCTCTGCTAAGCTAGTTTCATTCTTTCATGTTGTTAATCAGACTGTAATATTTAAAATAATGAATAGTGGTAAAATTAAGTTAGTTCCTTTTCAGTAATTTCATAGTGATCCTTGAAATGGACGATATGACTTCACTGAGAAACTCTTAATTCATCATAGGAAGTATGAAAATTAGGATGATTTATTTTAAGCTTTAAAATTAATTTGAACTAACACTTAAGGTACCCATTTCTATTATTCATCAAACCATTAGTATTTACATTTCAGTCATCTCATTACAACAGTTAACAGTATTAATAATAGGTTATGAAACTATGGTGACATGTGAACAACATGTAGTCATAAACTTTGAATGATATAATTTAACGGAACTTTTTAGTAAGTTGAATAATCAAATTCCATATTTCAACTTTGTTAACATCATGAGAATGGATGAACAAAGCGATCTAAGATGTAATTATTCCAAAATGAAAAAAGAAATCAATTCTTAGTTTAGCTATTATAAAAAGAACCCGAATAGTATCGCTAACAATTACACTTTCTCTAGCCAAACGTGACATTGAACTGTAGACAGAAATAGAATGTTGCTTAACAAGGAAGTAAACTTTTCTTCGTTGAGCTGGTTGAAATTTACGTGACTGTTATACAAGTTGACAGATGAAGAGAAAGAAGTAAGAGATTGATAAATATTAGTACTTATTATGCCTATCATCCCTCCTGGAGCACAGGTTGCCAATCAGTAATCTCGAGCCTAAACTCTTCTGGGCTCTACTTTCCTATTTTTATCGAGACCTATTCATTCTTTTGATGTCTACCTCCGATTCGGTCTTTCTCTGTCGTCATTGCTTTGAAGATTGCAAGTTAGGGCTCGCCCTAAGACGTAGTTTGATGCTTTCCATCTCCAGAGCTTTTACCCAATTTTTTCCTCAGCCGGAATCTAGTTTTTTCTCTTCCACAGTAGGTTGTTGCTGATGAGGTCAGATCAACCGAATCAAAGTATCTTGCGCCGAGATTCGTTTATAATGATCAAGGTATGAACTTTGTTAAATAATTCATAAGTTTTGCCTTCATATTGTATCTCTTTCACTCCCTATTTTTAGGTAGCCTTATCAATAATGATACTACTTATAGTAATAATAAAGATATTATCGGCAGTTGTCAATGATTGACAGAATATTACAAAGTGGAAAAATCCCACACGATGAAATAATCTTCGAAACAAAATTAAATCAGTTATTGTGCTACCGAAAGTTTCCATCTTTTCAAACAGAACGACATAAATATAAGTTTATTTTTGAAAATTAAGCGGCTGAGATAATAGGAAAACTTGAATACAATGAAGTTTTCCTGTTGTGTACTTAGAAATAATCGGATTATACCATACTTAAACTCATTGCAATGATACGTAATATCAAATCAACATTTATTTAATTTGAAAGCTGTTTCACTGCCTTATTGATGCTTGGTGAAAATAAATAAATAAATTTCTATAAAATTCTATTTTTTAATTCAAATAAATTCTGTGCAAAAAGGAGTTTAAAAATGTCAATCGTTTACTATTTCATGTTTGTTAAAGAAAGTCAAAATATTTATGGTTAAATAAAAAGAATTCTATATTATTCTGAATTCCCCATCACTGTTAACTGCATGTTTTTTAATCGTTTATCAGAAAGAGCCTCTGGAAGAAAATCGATGTCCTTCATATATTTGACAAAGCCAGGTTTTACTTACAATAGTATTTGGCAGATAGATTGTGTCGAGGATGAAGTAGTATTTTTTGTCAAGTAGTTATCATGTGGAGTTCAACTCTCCTCGCGTGAGATAAAGACTACGAATGACAATAGGCGGCAATTGTGGATTGCATGAATCTAGATTATTGAGGAATTGCCTCAATGCCTAAAAGTTCTGGGTTTGATCTCCAATGATATCGTTGCTATTCACCGTTTAGGAGATATTCAGTATGATGAAACATCTGTTAGATAGTTCCTGGTTACAGGTTCCTAACTAAATTCAATCCGCACTGTCAAAATACACAATCCAACAATATCTACACCCCCGAATGGTGAAATATGTGAAAAGCTAATTATTTGTTAATATGGTGACTGCGAATTCAATCATTTGCTGTAAGGAAATGTTATAAGTAATTGCTAAACAAAGGTAGAATGTACTGTGCAACAGTTCTCTCCGTTCTCCTATATGGATGCGAAATATGGCCGGCAAGCGTAGAAGATATTCGTAGGTTACTAGTATTTGAGCACAGATGTCTTCGAAGCATTGCTGGTATATCGTGGGGCAACCGAGTAAGCAATGCTGTCGTTAGTAAACGAGTGCTAGGTAAGGATGATAGACCAGTAGATGAAGTGGTGAAACTTCATCAGTTGAGGTGGTTGGGACATGTGTTACGAATGCCCAACCACCGACTGCCTCGACGAGCTTTGTTTTGTGGTGTAGGAGTAGGTTGGAAGAAAGCTAGGGGCGGTCAAATCAAAACATGGCACCGATCCATAGAGTCACTGACAAGTGGACTAAGTAATGTCGGCAGATGTAGGCTACCTGGTTGGGGTCCGCTAGACGAAAGTCACCAATGGTTAGAGACCTTAAATAACATGGCTCAAAACCATTTTCACTGGCCCAGGTTCATCCACTCTTTGAGTTCTCTCAAATCCTAATCTTCTGGATTCGTCGACACCTCTGCCTTTGTCTTTCTAAACCTATCTCACTGAATTATACTTCTTGAATAATATCTTGGATCCCTAATCCTCTCTCTATTACCAGTATTACTCCTACTATCTCTTTCACTATGGGATCTGAATTAACAATTCCATCTCTGTGTGCTAAAGTGGTATGGCAACATGAACTGATGTATTTGCGTACAAAGTTCTACGTTGTAACTGACTGACTGACTATAAGTAATTAACTGTCAACAGATTTCTAAATGTCTAGACTAACTGTAACAATGTTTTGTGTATTGTACTACACGTAATGCTTCCTTAAAAATAACGTTTACTGCATGAATTGATATCACATTTAGAGAGTTAGCTAAAAAAAAACCAAGAACCAGTTCAATAGACAACTTTATAAATTCAGCTTTCATTTTTGTAAATATAATCAAATTATGAAAAAGATCAATTGTATCACTCACTACAACTGATTTACTTGAATTGTATTCTTTTGACTATCTTACTTAATATGTAACCCCACAGTGTGTCAAAAAGTTTTTAAATCAGTCCACCATAAAACTCAGTTTTTCATCTAAACAATTTGCATAAATCAAACATAATTCAAATCGCATATTCATAAATGTTCAGTTTAATTTCCAGTTTCTGAACTTAAAAAGTAAGTTAGTTATATTTACTGACTGAGTCACTGAAAACTAAAAAAACTTCAATATAGTAAATTACAACAATTTGTGTGTGAAAATTTTGTTCCTGCACGAGGTCATACATGTTGATTGATTTCATAAAATACACATTGTACAAAAAATTAACAACATAAAATGTGTCCTCAGAAAAACTCGATCTATCTATTTATCTAAATAAACAAGCTCAGCACTCATTAGTGTAGATAGCACAAAATGTTATGTTTTTATATTGCACTGCCTTTGTTCGAGATTATTTCGTGAGAAATTTTACGCGATACTGTCTAGAAATCATATTTCTTACTTTACATAGTCTAGGATTTAATCAATAGTGTGGTAGTACCGTATTCATTTGTTAAAATAAACCAAGCTAGTAGCAGCCACTGAACAAAATTCCCAGTCAAAAATCAATATCCCATCCACTAATTTATCGCACTTTTATTCGACTATGACATAATAAAAACTTCCCTAGAATAATTAAGTAATTTATGAAAAAAACATTCTCTCCTAATAATGACTCTGTCTTCATTAGTGATTTAGCTTTGAGAAAAGTTCTCAAAGTTCAGTTGAGAAGTTGTGTGTAATGGATTTACATTAACCTCGATGAGTCAAGCGACTGAGTCTGGATGGTAATGCGAAATGAAACGATATGTCTTTCAAACCTGAGGTAAAAATACTTTTCCAACGTGACAGTTATACGGTGCATCTACGCTATCATGAGCTTCTTATTGATAGCAATGCTAAGACGTACAACTTGGTAACCGTCAAAATAGTATACAACATAAAAACAGTGGAATGTAAAGTCATACCTGTTGTGGATGTTAGATCCGCAGAACTCACTTGATAAAGTGTTGCGCTCTTCTCTAGGTTTGCTTAAATTATTACGAGTTCACCTTAGTCGAATAACGAGAACAAAACAATGAACCAGCGTCCGGGTAGGCTACTGTGATCAAATCGAATCAGCAAGAAGTCTTGATATAGTGTAGAAATTGTATTCTACAAACACCCAGCCAGCATACAATGAATCCAAGCACTCAAATTGCGTTTATTTATCCATCATAGAGACGTCCTTGGGACAGTCACGAAAACAGCACACTAAAATAACACAGCAGCCAATCACAGCCAGGGATTTTCCTGGTGGGAAATGTGATCTCAAGGTCGAGTGATCGGTCCATGAAATAAATCCAAAATAAAGATATTTATCAAGCAAGTTCTGGGGATCTAACAACCCGACATAAGGATCCTGACTTCGGATTTTATGATCAGTTGACCTTGAGATTACGTGTGCCAACGGGAAAATCCTTGACTGTTATTGGTTGATGTACTATTTTAGTACTCTTATTTTTGTGGCTCCCCCAAGGACGTACGTTTCTATGATGTATAAATGAACTCGATTTGTGTGCTTGAGAACCTCATATTTTCTGGGCGATTGTAGAATACACCTTTCTACGTCTTGTCAAGACTTCTTCCTCTCGTTAGTGGGGCCTTGGGACGCTCGGTTTAGAGTAGTAGCCTATTGTGTCACTGGGTCACTGGTCTTCACTCTTGTTTATCGAGTAAGGTGAACTCATAATAGTTTCAACCATATCAATACCTTTGGGTTTTTAGAATGTCATTACGAAAACAAAAATTACTAATAAAAAATTATAGTTGATATTTGATCATAAACAATTTGTAAGAATATATACTCACCCAAAATTACATTCAATAAAAATAGAGAACTTACCAGTAATAAATTCTGCTAGAATACATCCTAAACTCCACATATCAATCGGTGTACCATATGGTAAGCCAAGAATAATTTCAGGTGCACGATAAAAACGTGATTGTATGTAATTGTATGGACATTCGTTAGTATAACAACTCGATCCGAAATCAATCACTTTGATTTTACTTTTTCCTGGACGTCGTAATAAAATATTCTCTGGTTTCAAATCACAATGTATCACTTTATTCCTGTTCAATTGTAATGAAGAAGAAGATGATGATGATGATGATGATGATGATGAAAAAATAAATTGTATGTGGTTTATAGTTTTATAAACATTATAAACATTCAAATATATATGTCAATCAAACAATCAATCAATTAATCAATAGCAAAGTTGAACTTCGTACGTAAGTACATCAGTTCATGTTGCAATACCACATTAGCACAGAGATGTAATTGTCGATTCAAGTCTCACAGTAGTACAGGTAGAAAAGGTATTAGCAGTAGTCGGAGAGATTAGAATTAGAAGATATTATTCAAGAAGTAGAATCTAGTGAAATAGACTTAAAAAGATAAAGATAGAAGATAAAAAAAATACAATTTGAATCCTTTTCTTACCGCGGCCAACCTCAAGGCCAATTAACTATTACTTAGCTTAACTTTGGAACAACCCAACTTAATTTATGTACAAGACAACCTTGCTTAGTCAAATGCAATTGCCTTAGTTACCCTTAATCAAATATATTATCTATTAGTTCAAAATCACCACAAATCTCTTAATAATTACATGAACAATTAATTTGCGTTACACGCACCCTACTTTAATATTTTCTTTTTATTGAATTTAATAACATATAACCTTATTCATTGAAAATTCGATTGAATTTGGTAACTTGATTATTATTATTACTATAATTTCTCTCGCCCTCTTTTTGACCCATATTTATTCGGATCATTGAAGGTATTCATTATGTTAGTCATCTCAACATTTACAATCGAATTTTATTTCACAAACAACCCCAACTTTGCATATGCTAAAATTTGAAACAATGTATTCTGCTTCAAACCTGGTCATTTTTTTAATTATTCATTTGGCTGTGTAACTGTAAAACCTGATGATAATAATTTATTGAAAAGACTATTCTTCGTTCATATAATAATATTTTTAAATATATATGTATATAGCAGTAGATTAATGAATGTATTTTTGCGAATAGACTTGGCTAGAAATGCTATTTTTAAGGACAATCCAAACAGATGAATAAATAAAAAAGAATATAATATCAGAATGTCATGCAAGTACCACTTTCATGTTATGCAATTTTCACGAATAAAAAAGAAATCGGTGGAACATTCAATATATTTTCAATTAGATATATGGAGATTAGTGTTTTTACACATTTAAAATCGTCAATCAATCATTGCTAGACCATCATTTAGAAACCTGAAAGCACTGAACGGCCGTCACGTCCTGGTATAGGAGTCATCAGCAGTGCGCATCCATGACTCCTGCACCTCGCAGGATTCGAATCTGGGACATTCGGTCTTGTACGCGAACGCCTAACCTCTGGAACAATCGGCCGATACCCAACGGTGTTAATGTCTAACTCTAATTGATCAAGGGATTTTGCGCGATCTCACCCATTTGCCTTTGGTATACTTTTGAATCTGTTGTTATAAAGAGAGGCTTTGTAAAAGAAAACAAAGCGAATACCGTTTCTGTTTTTTTTCTTATAGTGTGTAAATTACATACAAGTGATTTGCCTCAATCATTCATGTTAAAATCTTAAAAAAAGAGTTATAAGGTTCTAATTTCAATTCACTTCCTTGTCATGAAATGTTTCTTCATATCTACATATATATTTTAGATTTTTAAAAATCACGTTAATCTTTGTAAAAAAAAAACCGTTATTCGATAGGTTGTTCAGAGCAAAAAAGTGAGTTACGTCAATTTAGATAAGAACTTTTATCAATACGTCAATATAAGCGTTTCGCCTAAGCGGAAAATATTATCGTCAATATAAATGAATTAAAGATCGCTTTACTTATGAAATTAATTATAGTGTTAGTAAATATGTAGTGCGTAAGTTGTACGTAATCAAAGTGCTTGATGTAAACTAGTTAAAACATATCAAACGATTTGCAGATTGCATAATATTATCCTAGGGATATGTAAGAGAAACATTATGATAGCAAATTAAATGTGAATGCCACTTCACTGAGAGCAAGGAAATAAAACTAGAGTTATGCAAGATTACAAGAGTGAAACAGACTTAAGAAGAATATATCTGAAATGTGAATCTGTAACTTGAGTAAGAGCTTACTTCGTTTGTTAGCTCTGTGCCTGAGGGATTACCGGTTTATCAAGCTTTTATTCTTGTTGAATAATTAATGAAAACTTGGGAACAATAAGAGAAATCCCCTGTCCGATTTCCAACTAGGAAACTTACACTTCTGACATTGATTTTTTTACTGACTCACCACAAACAATGCTTCTCTGTGAACTTAAAACGTAATACATTTGGTAAATGAGTATGATTGAGGACAAGTTAATTAGTCGAATTCACAATAATTAATAGTTTCAACAGATGACAAGCAGTTATCATACATATGGTCCAATCAGCAAACATTTTGACGATATCACACTACTTAAGTTAATTGAGCATAGTTTGAGAGACTGGTAATAATACAGAATAGTGTAAAACTTTGAAAATCATCAACTCATGATTTTATCAAGAAGAATTGCTCATTTTCCTTATATGAATGTTTGGTATACTAGTTAGACAGTGGAAAATTTATCTTTTATTGGGAAGTGACAACAATCATGCTGTCGAATAAGATGTTTAACAGGCTACCATTAGTAATCTTCAGTAATCGGAGCAGGATCGGAAACCATTACTTAGTGGAACTTACTTAACCTTCACTTATCGTCATTTCAGTCTTCATACGCATAGATAGATGTATGTTGAATTCAGGGGTAACTGGTTCCTTCGGTTGAGAAGTACAAATATTCGATTACCATGATGTTAGTTAAAAATACTAATCATTGATTGTAAGTCGTTAAATAAAGCTTAAAGCTTCTGGCTTTGACAAAGAAATGTAACATCGCTGTACTAATCAAATGGTACAGTTATTAACCAATGCCGTAATAGTAGTAATACTGGTTTGTTTGTTTATTTTTGTTCAAATTTCTATCCTAATTACAACAAGTCAACAACCATGTTCCAAAAAGAAATGTACTAATTTGTTTTACGTTTAGTTTTGAACTGTTCTAACCAGTACACAATGTATATTAACTAGGCTATAATATTGTTATGATATTCAATGAAGTTTTACGTGTCAGCTGTATCAATGAAAATTCTTTCTTACGTACTTATTTTTGACTTTTTGTCATTCAAATATTACAATAATAAAGGTCATGCAATACGTTAAAAAGACAATGGAACATATGGAATTTTCTAAAGAAAAATTATTGTTCACAATATAAGGTGAATAATATTCGGCTTACGCTAAAGTTTCTGCCAAGTTGTTACAATAGCTTCTTAAAACTATTTATGACCTCTCTCTCTCTCTCTCTCCAATAACCTAGTTATTTTGACATAGACTAATGCAAAAGAACAACTCGTTCAACTTACAGAGAGATAAAGAAATAAGTTGTAATGTCAACTAGTAAATAAGTATATTTTTATATATATTGTTTAACCTGAATTCAAGTTAAATATTACTTAATGATAAATGACGCAGTGATGATTTGTGTTGACAAGACTTATTGATTATTTCTAGAACTGAATCAATTACGTATCAATGTAAATATTTTATTTATTCTGATTAACTAAATCGATTTTCAGAAAAAAATTCTTTTTAGGTTCAATGCGCCAAATAGAACTTCACTTTATCGAAACTATGTTAACAGACAAGCACTAAAAAACAATCATTAGTAAATCAATGATATAAAAAAAATGTAACGTTTCAAGTTTTGAGTAACACTAGAAGGCACTGTAAAGTGAAATAAAATATAATATAGTTAAAACTTGTTAGAAATGTCACAGAGAAGGGAATTTCTTCGAAAATAACTTGAACAATGGAGAATTCTAAAAATCAGCTATTCAAAAGAGGTCTAAGAAGCATGTGTTTTCAAGGTTTCGAGGTTATTCGACTGCCTTTCAATGAAATAGATACATGAAACAGTCCCATAAATCATGAAACTTGATAAATTTTCATTATGAGGTTCTGAAGGTTGTTAAGTTACTTCGTGAAATCATGAAACAATCAATGTTAGACCACCATTCGAAACCTGGGAGCACTGGACGGACGTCTCGTCTTGGCATGGGACTCATTAGCAGTGCTAACTCCACTACTGCTGTACCTCACCTTGCTCACTAGTGAATAGGCCTGTGAAGAATCCCGTGAGTAACAGGGGTCACGGGTACGCACTGCAGATGAGTTCCATACTAGGACGAGACGTCCGTGCAGTGCTACCAGGTGTCTAATGGTTGTCTAACATTAATCGATTCATGATTTCACAAATTTTGTTGGAGATTTTTTAAGAGGCCGTATTTCGGTCACTGCATGGATGTTTTATTCTAGTTCGAACCGAAATACTTTAGTAGGTTATTGATTTTATTTCGGATTCTAACGAATGAGAGCACTACTTCGATTCTCAGCATTATACAGAATTAGTAATTTAGTTTTTTCAGATTTCAGTTGTCGATCAGAGGTGGCTACTTGGTTGTACGTCAGTCAACTTCCAGAAACTGCACTTTTTCATCAGTTATCTGAAAAATACTTCTTACGGAAGTTAGCTCCTGGATTTCGTTGTTAATGAGAGCAAATAACGATTAGTAATTTGACTTCGCACAGTAACTGTTAAAAACGTTTGTTGTAGAATCATTACTGAACTGTTTACTACAGACAGAAAACTGCTGAAAATAAGGTTAATTAATAGACACAGTGTTTCACAATTGATGTGTGTTAAACAATGAAAACTAACGATGTGTGATCCATTTCACTTACAGTTACACTTTTCAACATCTTTTATTCTCTACAAAGTCTTTTAAAAATAGATGAAGTGGCCTAGTAGTTAAGACGCTCGGTTTCTTAACATTAGATTGTGCATTTGAATCTCACGTCATCTGCTTCAAAGTAAGAAAGTGTAATTAGTCATCACATAAATATGCTGATCATAGTTTGTCACATGAACCTAGAATTTACAATCGAGTTATGATATATTATTATTTCTGTAAAC